ACACACACACACAGGCATACCTCACTTAGCGAGCGTTACTTCATGGTGCATCACAAACACTGTGGTTTTACAAACGGAAGGCTTGCGCAAGGCCTGCACTGGCCCCTGTTTTCCCACAGCATGGGCTCCCTTTGTGCCTCACATTCTGGCGTGCTTTCAGAATGTTGCAAATGCACACTTAGTAGTCTACTTAAAAATAATTTTTTTTAAAAAGCCCACACTCACGGGCATCAAGCCCTTTTTCTCTCATAGAGGACCCAAGTGGAAGTGCTTCTGCGGGTTTCCAAGACTACCTTGCTACAGGAGGAGGAAGCCTCATCTCTCACAAAACAGCTGTGGTTCTGAACTACCTGTTAGTAGATCAGCACGTAACCCCTCCTCCACCAGGGCTCCTTAATAGACTGTGATATAGTGTCAATATAGCTTTAGATGCCTTCAACCTCAGTGGCTTCGTGTCATTTCTGACTCATAATGACCCTATCTGACAGGGCAGCACTGCCTCTGCGGATCCCAGAGACAGTGACTATTTATGGGAACAGAGTGTCACCTTTGTCCAGAGGAACAGCTGGTGGTTTTGAACTGCCGACTTTGTGGTTTGCAGGCGAATGCACAATCCACTGGGACACCAGGGCTCCACTGACATATGCACTGGGGACCCCAAAAATGCATGTGGCTCATTTTATGGTGATGAGCTGTAATCCAGCCGGCAGTCTATCTGAGGTCTGGGTTCTGTTGATTCCTTTGTACACTTGCTTTTTCAGGTCAAGGAATACTGGGCATGTTTGAGTAATAATAATAATAAAGAAGACTAGGTGGAAAATCAAACAAGTGTGATCGGGTTTCCTTATTTATTTCCTCCTTGATCATGGCTGCTGAGATGTCAAATGGAGCAGACCGAGAGTAAGCCTCTGACGTGCCACAGACCCACGCACCTCCTTCCTTACAAGGATGGACTAGGGCCCCGAGACTTTAAGCAAGCTGAACTGTCCTGAGGGGCACAAACTGGCCAGAAGTGGCAGGGCAGCAAAGCCCAGACCTGAGAACTTGACCTGGGAAAGGCGTTAGAAAACATTTTCTCTGTGCGGAAGCAGCGACGAAAGAAATAGTTCACTGGAGATGAGAGACTACAAGGGCGGTCACACTTACTAACCATACCTCTTGTTTTACTAGGAACATTTTGGGGGTGGGTTAGGCTGGAAATCGGCCGGGCGGCTGAACTCTGTGCTGAATATGTAAGACGTGGGGGTCTACAGGGTCTTTCATACGTGAAGATGACCTTCCCCATCCCTGCGGTCCTCTATCCGTCATACTCGGGGCAGAGGCAGTTCAGTGCAGGAGACACAGATTCAAGCCACGGCCAGCGCTGCACAAAGACATCCACATCTCCACGTGTCTGTCAAGGTAGGCTCTTACAGACCAAGGTAGACTAGGAGAAAGACCTGGCGAGCGACAGCCGAAGAGCCAGCCAATGAAAACAGTCGGAGCCCATGGTTTAATCCCTCAGTACATAGGGTCTCCGTGAGTCACGGACCAACTCATTGGCAACTAGCAGCAAGATCTTCACACCCATTTCACATGATCTTCAGAGATCCTCCAGGGAGCCCCTGAGAGGAAGGAGTATCAACACAACAAGGAAGGCATAAAAGCATGACATATGGTATGACCTGTTCCATTTGTCAAGCAAAGGCAGGTGAAACTGGGAAACAGATCAGCTATTTTCATCCTTGTCATCTCTCCAGGAGCCCTGGTGGCATAGTGGATTATGTGTAGAACTGCCAGCCACAAGGGCAGCAGTTTGAATCCACCAGTCTCCCTGAGGGAGAAATTTGTGCCTTTCTACTCCCATAGGCAGCTACAGTCACGGAAATCCTCAGGAGGCAGTTCTGCCCTGCCTTACAGGGTCACTATGAGTTGGAATCAACTTGATGGCAGTGAGTTTTTTCTTTTAATTTTTTATCTCTCTCCAGACACCGCACTACGAGTGAGAAGACGACCCACCACCACTACCAACCAACAACATCCAAGCCCGGCAACCCCCAACACACCCATCTGACGAAAACAGAAGGGGCCCATGCCATTCACACACGTACCTTGCAGCCAGCAGTTCTCCCAAAAACATTTCAGCTTTGTGGACTTCGTTTTTCTTCTCAGAAACGTGCTGCTTACTCTCCCCTAAGTTTTCTGTCTGTAACCTCTCTTCCATTTCATGGATCCATAAGTTCAGTTTTCTGTGTTGATCCTCAAAGCTAAGAAAACAGAACAACTCTTACGCAAGCTCCATCCCTTACTTGTTAGCGTAAACGAGTGCTAGGAGGTGACTCTGGCGATGGAGGCACCATGCATTTTCAAGTAACAAAAGTAAGCATAACCAGATGAGCTCTAATTCTAATTAGCAAATGACAGATCATGTTAATTTCTCTAGCGCTTCAAGGAGAAAAAGAACAAACAAAAACACCCTGGTCTTGTTGAATTGATTTAGTGACAATCAGAACTGGCAAAGGCCAGCAAGATTACATCCTTATTCGGTGTGCATTAAACTTACTAGGAAGATCTTTGGACAAGACCCAATGGACAAGTGGCTCTTGAAGAAAATAAGGGAAATGTCCCTCTGTGCCTTTGTTTGAAAGGATTCTGAATATAGCCCAGAGCTATTGATTTTGAAAGCAACACAAGTCCTTCACGAAACATAGACAAGATTCGGGGAAACGTATCTACCACTGAAAAGTCACTTTGATTATATTAGCACCTTTCCTCAACCCTCACAGTGAGTTTGGCTTTGCTTCCAAGGTTAAAGTTATATGCACTGCTGCTGCCTCATCTGACAGATTGCAACCTTGATCCGCAGAAAGCCAAGAGGTGTTTTGATTGTGACTTCAAATCAGCCAAAGTGGACAAAAGGAAAGGGCTGGAGTCCTCTCTAAAGCGGGTGTCAGAACTCTCATGTACTGAGTTAGCTAAAGAGACAAACGTGGTTTGCACTTACGTCTGCTGTTTACAATGATTAGTAAATAATGTGTTTTGTTTCTAGCTAGAAAATAAGACTACCTGCTAACTTCAGAGTCTGAGAAATTGATTACTGCCATAGTATGAACTTAAGATCAAAGCTAATTTTAATTTAATTCTGCAGTTTCAAATATGAGGGTTTTCATCTCCAAATATAGTCAGAAGGCCTCTGTTAGAAGAAAGGATGGCAAGCCTTTAGTTCATGCACAGGGGTCAATAAAAAGATAAAGGCCTTCCAGGAGAGGCATTGACACAGTGGCTGACACAATGGGTTCAAACACAGCAAAGACGGTGATGATCGCGTGAGACCGGGCAACGTTTTGCTCTGTGGTTCATGGGCTATCTCTGAACTGGAACCCATTCCACGGCCTCTCACAGCAACAAAATCGACCTACCTCCCAAGCTCTGAAACACAGTCGTGAAGAGCCTGTTTGCTTTTGAGGCATTGCTTCAGAAAGGCATGAAACTCTTCATTCGCTGTGGTCACGTGTTCCTGAATGCTACTGACAATTTGTTTGGACAAATATGCATACAAAGTTTGTCCTTCCTGCGTCACAGCATCAAGTTTGCTCTGTCCATCACTTACTGAGTCCAGAATGTTCTGTGGAGGGAAAGAAAGGAATGCAAAACCCTTTGTATTTTTTTATGAGACCTCCGTGCAGGAAAGCATCGATTAATACCTGAGCTAAAATGGCAGAGTACAGCAAGAGAAGAAAAACAAAGCTCAACAGGGCCTAGGTTTTATAACACGGCTAGAAGGGAAAAGATGTCCACTACTTGAAATAATCCAAGCTCAAAATTGGGAAAGGAGCCAGTCACTCGCTGGAACCATGGAGGCCAAACGGAACAGTGCCAAGGTAGAGACGAGCACACATGCCCGTCTAAGTCTTCTTCCCCAATCGCTCATCAGTCTTGCTGTTCTCAATTGACCCACGGTCCATCTCCCTTCATGGTTAGAGTGATACTCCCGGATCTGGCTAAATGCCAGCCCTTCCTGCTTCTCTGACCCACACCACACATATTCTTGCCCATGCTCCCATCTTGTCTTGCTCGGTGCCACTTTCTTAGAAGATCATATCACACTGTTTTGGCTTCAACAAGGCAAAAGAACCCCAGGATTACAGTGTTAGTCATGTCTCTTCTAAGCTCAGTGTGGCATCGCCAATTATTATTTAGACATCTCTTTCTGAAGTTCTACTGGAATCGTAAGCTTCAAGGGGGGAAATCCCACACATTCTGACAATCAACTTTCCTTTTTTACAACCATCTCCCTGCTCTGACTTGTCATTTCAAGAGTTTCGTATATTAGGGAGCTTCCAACACTTCATGGAAACATTCCACTAGCTTCTCCTTCCACTTCTCCATGAACTTGTTGAAGCCACCCCTGACTGCCTGTCCCCATTAGGCAACACAGTCCTCAAGTGGTTATTATTCATTTTGAATGATTATTTTCACAATACTCTTTGGGGGGTGAGGTTCAGATTAGCTACTCCAAAGAGTTGGCCCAAACAGAATTTGAACCAATTCTTCTGTGAATATTTTCTTAACATAACTTCACAATTACCTTCTCCTGCGTGAATTCAGGCATTTTCCAGAGCCTTTACTTTTATAAAGCCTGTAATGTCTATTTTCATTTGAACATATAGCATCTCCAAATCTAAAAATTAAACTATTTAAAAATCTGCAAATCATGTCTTTTCCTCCTATTTTAAACGCCCCACAACAGTGATATAAAATGGAATTTTTATGCTAAATTTTAAAATTAACATTCACTTTACTTTTGAATGAATTCCAAAGGCTGAATGTATTCCAACAGGTAAAAGAAGAGAGGGTAGGATCTAGAAATTTTCTCTCTCTAACTTATTTTCTCACCTTACTTTCTATATCGCTTGTCTCCTTTGACTCCTATTTGGCCAGGGAAGAAGAGAAGACCGAGTGAAAGAAGTTTAGGAAAGGAGAGGATTTCCATGTGGTTTAGTGGCACTTAAGTCATTTTGAGGGGAGGAGAAGTGGGGTGGCCAGGTTTCCTACCTGAAGATCATGGAGCTGGGCCTCCAGCACTTTTCTGTCACCCGTTCTATCTGATGATTCTTTGGCTGCTGCCTTGACTCTTGAAAACCAATCTTGGAATTCCTGCATGGACTCTTTGAAAGCAACAAAAATGAATAAATCCCAAAAACAGAGTGACATTGCAGCGTGAACACAGTGATTGGATCTAGCCCTCAGCCTAGCTTGTCTGGCTTTCCAAACGTGTTCCAGAAAGAACGGAGCCACACAGAGGGAAAGGCAGTGTGACCAACAAGTAGGGTTGTTTGGGGCGGGTGGAGAAATTAACACAGGCAAAAGACTGGGCATTTTTAAATTCTGGAATGTCTGGTGTCCTGTTGAATTCAGTGCAGACAATGAATTCCTGTGCTCAGTGAGAGCCCATGGGGAGCCATTCTATGAGGTGGCTGTGGGCGCCGTTTTTTAAGCAACAGAATCAAACAGCTCTATTTTCCTCCACTGGTCATTATCAGAACACCGGCCACACTGAGTGGGAAGTGGACACAGGAGTAGATACCTGAACGTTTTCTGGGGGGTCTGGTTGCCACTGCTTTCTTGTCTCTGCTAACTTCCCAATTGACTGTGGGACCTCATCGTGATAAGAAAGAGTGAGGGGAATTTGGGCACACTGGCTGCTGACGACCTGGACAGTGGGACAAATTCTCCACAAATTTGTTACACAAATAACACCACGTGTGGAAAAGCCCAATCAAATTCGGGATCCTCAGAATGGTGGAATCCTCTGCTCCCTGGAGGAGAAGCGAGGAAAGTGGGGGGTCTTACAACACTCCCCTCTCTGCCACTTCTCACCGCAAACACACGGCAGATGAAATGGGCTTAAACATGAACACTTTCTCATAGGATCTCCCCTTTGGACTCATTTTAAACTTACTCTAGATTTTCATGTTTTCTATTGAGAGCTTTTTGCTGCAGTATTATTGGTTGGCTCGTGTTGTCTGTATATGAATTTCAGGATAGGCAAAGCTAAAGAGACAGTGGCTGCATTCATGGTTTCTTAGAGATATGGCAGCGAAGGTTGGGTTCATATGGGGAGCTCATAATGATGAGTACAATGAAGAAGAAAATATTCTCAGACTGATTGTGGTGATGACCATGTAACACTTTTTAATACGCTTGAACTATTGAATGGTACGATGTGTGAACTAGATACCACTAAAACTGTTTTTAAAAAGCGGTATCTGACTGGAAAGCTCCCCCGGCTTCTGCTGGCTGTTTCTAAGGAGGAGCTTCCTCGTAAACAAACTATTCTCACCCAGGCGTGTCAGAGCTCACCGTTGAAGTGTTTTTCCAGGGACTCCTGAAGGCTGGTCTGTGTCTTGGAGCACAACTGGCTCACCGCTTCATGTTTCTTGATCAGCGCGGTCATGATGCCGCCCAGGCTCTGCAGCTCCCCGGAGTGGTACTTGCGGCATAAGCTGTTGAGATTCTCTTGGGTGGAGCTGATGTTGCTTTGCTGACTTTGAAGTTCTTTCTGTATATCCTGTGGAAGGAACGTTCGCCATGAAGGATGTTCCCTGCTTTCGGGAGAAACGCTTCATCAACCTCACTGGAGTTTGTTGCTTTCCCCGGGAAAGAATCATGGTCGGAGTTTATGAGTATTTTTGATGGATCTGTGTAGATTCCTTCAGAATGTTGCCCGCTTTCTTTGAGAAATGGCTAGGATTGGATCAGGGGTTCTACAGTCTAGGAACTCTAGCAAATTGACGAGGTTCTAAGAACTGTACCCTAGCCCCTCCACCCCCCAATCTAGACGTGATCAGTTGATTAGAAACTACTGCCTTCATTTACATTCTTCAATGGATTTTTTTTTTCAGGGTCACCGGCCCACACCAATAGGGCCAATAATTAATTTCAAAATATAGGTCCTTAGTCTCAAGTATGATAAGAAAGTCCACTCAAAGAGAGCAGATGACGTGTGCTGAAAGTCTCTTAACATGAGCTGGCCAGAATTATCATTGAGGATAGGACAACTTGGAAGTGGAGTCTTTTCTCAGCTGCCTCTGCTGAACGACAGCCCACTCTGGATGAACACAATCATCTCCACCAAGAAAAATAAGTGAACAACAGAAGTCGACATGAAACGTTTTTGAGGGCGGTAAGACTCCATCTCGTATGCCTCGGACATATAATCAGGAGAGACCATTTCCCTGGAGAAGGTTATCTATCATGCTTGGTAAAGGACCGGGTCAGCAAAAAGTGGGGAGACCACCAGTTAGACAGATGGACGGAGTGACTGCAACAATAGGCTTAAACAGAACCACCATTGTGAAGATGGGGCAGCACCAGGGTGGCCCCTGTGCGGTTGTACATAGCATTGCATGAGTTGGAACTGATTTGATGGCACCTAACGACAACCTAACACTTGCAATTCAAGCTTGACATTTTATGGAAAATCAAGTTATTCTCCAACACCTTAAAAAAAAAAAAGCAAACCCATTGCTGTCAAGTCAAACTCACAGCAACCCTCTGGGACAGTTGAGAAATACTCTCTAAGGCAGCGGCTCTCAACCTCCCTATGCTGCAACCCTTTCATACAGTTCCTCAGGTTATGGTGACGCCCCAACCATCAAACCATTATTTCCGTTGCTACTTCATCACTGTCATTTTGCTACTGTTATGCATCAGCAACCCTTGTGAAAGGGTCCTTTGACCCCCAAAGGGGTCTCGACCCACAGGTTGAGAAACGCTGGTTGGATCGGAATGCATGCTTTCTGTTAGCAGATAACTAGTCTTTGAATTGTTATCACCACAAAGTTATCAGTTCAAGTCCACCAACTGGGAGAAAGATAGGACTGTCCGCCCTCATAAAGATGTATGGCCTCATCAACCCTATGTAAGATCTCCATGAGTCAGAATTGACTCAAGGGCAGTGGTCCTATGTTTTTGTTTCATGTCTTCATTCAATGCTCATGCCTCTTACTTTGCTGTGTTCGACATGGTGAGTTCTATGGTCTGGGGTTAACAGGGGTCATTGTGGACGACCACCTTCACGACCAGTGGCCCTGGTGGTGTCGGGTTAAGCAATGGGCTGCGATCTGCATGGTTGGCAGTCCGAAGCCAACAGCAGCCCCCGGGAGAAAGACGGGCTTTCTTCTGTGAACAGTGATGGTCTGGGAAACCCACAGAGGGTCACTATGAGTCAGCACTGACTCGATGGCAGTGAGAACAAATGTCATCATTCAGTGGAAACACGGAACGAGGCTCTGCTACCCACCTTCACTTTTTTCAGCCCCTCGCAAGTGTCAGCTTGCACACAACTCTGCAAGGATTCTTCCAGCTTGGCCAGCCAGGCTGTTATCTCCCGAATGAATCTCTCCACTTGTGTGGTCTGAGCAGTGAAGTCTTTCAGGGTTCCTTTCGCGACTTCTGTTATTTCTTTGGCATGCTCCAGTTTCTGCCTCAAGTCAGCTTCGATAAACTATGCAGAAAACAGGATTTCATTAGAAACGCGTCAAGACCAGAAGGCGTCATCCAGTAGACTTCCGCTCATGGCATTTTAATTATCAGCAACATTCAAGGGCACGCACAGTCATCCAGTAGACTTCCGCTCATGGCATTTTAATTATCAACAACATTCAAGGGCACGCACAGGAGCTAGCTCTGGGGGCTTATTTGCGGATACTGCTTCTCTCAGCTGCAAAGGCCACAGTACTAGCTGTGGGGAAGAGAAGTGGTTACGAGTTACGATGCAATCCGCAAGGTCAGCCGTTCCAAACCGCCAGCCTCTCTGAGAGAGAAAGGTGGATCTTTCTGCTCCCACGGAGAGTTACAGTCTTGGAAACCCACGGGGTGATGGTAGCCTGTCCAGTAAGGTCAGTATAAGTCAACAACCACTGGATGGACGTGAGTGACCTGTCAGGAGAGACCAGTCCCTGGAGATGGACATCATGCCTGGTAAAGCAGAGGGCAGAAGAAGAGAGGAAGGTGCTCAAGGAGATGGACTGAGACAGTGGCTGCATCAATGGGCTCAGGCTGGTGCAGGACTGGATGTTCTGTCTGCTGTGCATGAGGTCGTTATGGTCAGAACGAACTGACTTGAGGGCACCGAGCAACAACAAGGCCGCCACCGTCTTTACGTGACGTGGAAATGAAAAGCACAAACAGTGGAGTTAGCAGAGAAAGTTCAAGTGGTTGTTTCTAGGGAATACAAGACGGCATTCCTAAAGGAGAGCCAGGCCTTTCAGAATGACCTAGGAGGTGCGCCCAGACTTCCCTGAGTCCTTTCTGGGGAGCATTCCCATGGGCTGTGCCCTGATTGCAAGCAAGCACCACCACAAAGCCTAGAAGTAAAGCAGCTTCGTGGCTGTCTCCCCCTCCCTCTTTAAGGAAGAAACCCTGGTGGCGCTGTGGGTTCAGCATAGCGCTACAAACTTCAAGGCTGGCAGTTCAAAGTCAGCAACAGCTCCTTGGGAGAAAGATGGAGCTGACTGCTTCTGGCAGGATGTGCAGCCTCAGACCCCCTCACAAGAGGTTCTCCTCTGGCTTATTGGCTCGCTAGGAGTCAGAACTGGCCCTGTGGCAGTGGGTTTGTTTGGCCTTGGTTTGGTCCCTTTAAACTCAACAGTGGGGTTTGTTCACTGATCCTCCCTGGCAGGTACATTCAGGCCTGGGCCCTTGAAGGCCCTTCGTGGCACTGTGCATGGCAGAACAGTCTCAAGTCAGAAAGAAATCACCCAGGCCTGTTTAACAACCCAAACTTTGAATGTCCTTGAACGTTAAGGCTTTTTTCTTCACCTCCCGCTCAGATTGACAGGAAGCAGGAGGCCGAGGTGGGTGGGTTGGGGGGGGGGCCCCGCACCTCCCCTTCTCTGTCCTCATTTCCGTTCTATTCTCAGACTGCAAATCGCCCACTGTCCTTTCTGACTCCTGCCAGC